GCAGCTTTACTTACGAATGCAGTATTAGCAGAGCTTTAGGGCTATAACCTAGTGAGCCACGTAAAATAATAAAACAACAAATAAAACTTAAAAAAAACTTAGGTTAGTAGACTTAATGTTACAGCATTTGCATATATGGAATAAAAAGCTGAAAATGCTAATTTTTCCGGTAAAGTTAAGTAGTAAAGCATGCAAGTGATTTGTTAAACACTTTATTTCTGAATGTCCCTGTTAGCTTGGAGAAGTCTACCTGGGAATTCAGCCACCTGATGTTCAGCTCATACTAGGTACAGGTATTAACAAGAGTTGCTGGCTTGGACTGGCCTAGATATTGAGCCTTAATCTTGATGCAAAGGGAATAGGGCTGAGAAACTGCACAAATGAAGACCACTTTTTTTCTTTTTTTTTCAAAATCATCTTTAATCTTGCAAAGAAAAAAAAACATACTGGCTTCATTGCTAAGAATGTTCAGATATGATCATTCTTAAGTTTCTTCAGTACATTTACTGAAGTTACATGGAGTAAATATAAGAAAAACAACCTTATTTACTTGGAAAGAAGACTTTAATAGTGTTATTATATAAAGTATTGGCCAACTCAAGTGGATCATCTTCTCTTACTGCTGCCATTATTTCCAATATTTGACTAAAAAAAGAGAGAAGGGTATTAGTGAACTCTGAAACTCAACAGTGAATATTCCTGTCTGCTGCATGTGTATGTACCCAAGGAACTTAATCTGGAATAAAAAAAGCTATTCCGAGAGCAACAGGGAAGGGGCCTGGATATGCAAATAGCTTCACTTTTAAGTCACTAACTTCTATTCCCTTTACATCGAACACTGGTTGCTCGCTGGTACAGATTCATCTTTGGTCTTTTGACTCTTGTTTGGAGGTAATTAAACAGCTTTCTGTTTCAAAGAAAGTGTCATTTTGTGGGTGTCTTTATCAACAGTTTATTTTTCACGCTGAAATTTATTAGTCTCCTTTCAAGGCTAAAACTGCAGGCTCTACAGACAATTGTCTACTTAGTCAAACTAAAATAATGCATCCTCTATGCAACTCTCAGGTTTCATATCATCTTGCCGTTTAACCAGAAATAGAAAAAAAAAAAGAAAAAAAAATCAAATTCTCATGGTAAAGCTGATGAACCTCAACTTTGGTGGTGGTAGTTTGAGGATCGCCTCTAACTTTCCTAAGAGCCAGACTTCCTTTTTGAGGAAGGCAGCGTAAAGGTGCTTTAGACTGTATCTGGAACGCAAACAACTTATTTCCTAATGCAGAGGCAGCCTCCTTCATGCCCTCTCCTGGGCGTTGTAGCCAGACAGCTTCTTGATACAAGAGGAGGCTACTAACTTCCTATCTCAGAGAAGCTGAAGGACAATCAGGCTGTTTAGCCTCCAAAGAGGTAATTTTAAATAACCAAGAATTTAATCCTTGAAGTGTTCTGGTAGGGCTTACACAGCTGTCCCCAAAGGATACAAGCACGAGTAGCCCATGCTACTTTAGTACCGTTCATGTGAAATCACTGCAAGGGAGGAGAGCAGGAACTGGGAGGCTAAAATTTTAATGAAAATAGTTTCCAAGGGTACTGCTGTAGTTGTATTTTTTTAATGTGAATATTAAGCAGCAGGATCTCCAGCAAAGCTGAACACTGTCAAGGAGGAAGCTCCTCCTGCCTCCCTAGCCACGATAAATGGCTGCACGGTGACATTACCTGCCACTCGCACCAGACCTTGCTGCTTGGGAAGTCACAAAACACCCATTCTCACCATACACTTCACTCTTCCTAAGGGTTAAGAGGGTCTCTGATTACTAATCTACAACTAATATGGGCTATAATTAATTTCAGGGGGAGGGTATTCTGGAGTAAGGTCAACCTATACACGATTATTTCAAAAGGAAACTGGGTGTTGCTGTAGGGACTCCCTGAACTCCCCATTGCAGGGCTTTTGAAACGCTTTTTTTCCCCCCTGTAAGTTACAACTAAGACAGCAAAGATGTGGGGGGAAGAAAGGGATTAAGAAATTAGAGATCATCTCCATTTATTAAGTTTCCAGTGAACCTATTTTTTTCCACTTTTTTTTTTGTAAGATGAAATCTGAACTATTTTAAATAATACACTTACATTATATGGCAGGGTTCATTCCTGTCCTTCAAGCAGTGTCCTACTTCCCATTTCTTTTTTGTAGGAAATGTAGTTTTTATGTACTTTGATCCTGCATGAGTATTTTTCACTCCACACCAAGGGGCATCTAGTTTCATTCAAAAAGACATGACAGTATTTAGAAGTCCTTAAAATCACTTTCTAAAAATTACTTTTCTTTCATTTCGAACAGGACTTTAACAGATTTAGACAATTTAACATCTTCATTGCTGTGGAATTTTTATACCAATACCATCAGGACTTCACATTTTAAAATATTAGCAGTAGTAGCCCATAGCACTAATTTCTTCTGTCATAAAAAGATCACTGGCTAGACTACATGCACTCCACAAAGTTCATGCATACACGTCCGTGTAAATGCAATTTAATGATTTAGACAGGATTTTTTTGAAAAAAGCTCCTCGATTCAAAAATTCAAATAAACATTGTATTTATAACTGCCTATCACTGATATCTGAAATGAATAGGATGGAAAAAAAAAGTCTATTGCCAGTCAATTTAAAACAAAACAAGTGTCCCTTATAAGTCTCCCTTATCCCAGGATATATAAAAGAAGTGTCCCTTGTAAGTCTCCCTTATCCCAGGATATATAATACATATATTATATACTGCAACCTTCTTTCCTCTTAATCCATTTACAGAATTAGTGCTTCCAAATGCCATTGTCATTGGCAAGGTCACAGTAGGTGTATATTTGACACCTCTACAGCAAATGAGAATTTAAAAAATATTCAAGCAGGATTTGGGTGCCTAAGTACACGAAAAGGACAAATGTAGAAGCCCAGATTTTTTGCATCTTCACCCCTAGTCTCAGGAAGTGACAAGACAGCTTAGTCCTTCTAGCTGAAAATGAGTATTTCTGGAATCTGTTATTTACTTTCTAACCTGGAGAAAAAGATTCTTCCCCCAGTTTCTTATTGGGGGCCTTAGTGACTGCCTTTTCACATTGCTATGCAAGCACATCTCCTCCTCTAGCAGTGTCTTAGTCATAAAAAATGCTAATCAAGATACAAGAACTTACCAGTCTCTATCATTAATCGTTCACTAGGAATGGATTTCAGGGTTTCCAAATTCGCTTCTGTTTTCAGTGAACTAGAAAAATCAGAGTAAGGAAGAAAGTTTTTATAAAAGTAATTATTTTGCCTGTTGAGGTATTTTGTAGCAAAGGCAGCTTCCTAAATATTTTCCTAAATGAAAAAAACCTGCTTCACCTCAACCTAGCAAGGGAGCAGAATTCCTCCCTCCTGCACCCGACTCACCTGGCGTCAACAGCCCCCAGAACCTGAAGCGAGGCGGGCCAGGTGAACACAGAGAATTCAGGCTGTTTAACTGGTTTAGGAAGCTAATCAGATTGCCTTCAAATTACTCCTGGATTTGACAAGGCAGCTTAGAATTACAGCATTTAAATAAGCCTCAAAAAGATGGCTTCTGCACTCCTTTATTTACAAACAGGATTGCAGGATCGTGGGAATTACCCTGAGACTGGATTAACTCACAGAACTAAGAACTTTCTCTGGCTAAGAGCTTTCTTGCAACAAGCAGAATTCTAACTCTGTCAACAGACAATCATTAAGAGTCTGCTGAGCTCTGAAGACTTAAAATAAAGTAATGAGAGTTCAGGAGAGCTGATATTTTAGAATAGTTTTCATTCTTGAAAAGCACTTACCAGCCATTTATTCCAATATAGAGATCTAAATCTATTAGGGCAGCTGCTTCTTCCTTCGTGCCATCAAAAGAATGTACCTGGAATATATTTAGATATGTCATCATTTAAAGATCCATCACCCAGAAGGATGCAGTAATTTCTGTGATATGAATCCCTCTGGTGGTGTCTACACAGGACTGTGGAGAGGCCAATGTCATTTATAAGATGCTTAAATTGTCCTCTGATGGGCCGAGAGAAACTGCTCCTGTCAGCTGCCGAGCTTTCCTCGGACTATCCTCTTACCTTGCAAGAAGCTGTTGCACGAGCAACAAAACTGGACTGGAAGGGACTGAAAGGTGGTTGCTAATTTATAATAACTTAAATCTTGGAAAAGGACTTCTCACCGAGCTCCCCAGAAACAAGGCGTTGCATACGAGGGACTAATGCTCACGCACATGCCCACCTCCCCACCGTATCTGCACAAACCTCTATCTGCAACTGAGCGCTAAACTGAAGTCTCTACTTACCACTCCTCTGACAAATCTCTCTCTATTTCTTCTCATTATATCTGTGAAATGAATAAAAATGTAAGCAAGCATCTTTATAAAAGAAAAAGGCAAAAAAATCTCCGTTTTCTTTCATTTTCAGTATTTGTTACCTAAAAAATCAGCATGTGAGTTTCTACAGTGGAGAAACATTGGCAGTCGGGTTCGTTCTGACAGGTCAAATTGCTTCTCAAAATATCTGTGAAAGAGAGAACACTTAACCAGAAACTTGGTATAAGAGCAAATACACGTAATAGAAACATTTTTCCATTGCTTGCATGTTTTTGTTTTCAAGAATTAAAGACATAATGGATTTGCCA